GGCCGTGGTTTATTGATATGCAAATCACTGCGGCCCATTCATATGTAAATATCTCGGCCGGGACAGGGGACAGGAACAGCGCCAGCAGCTCCTGAGAGAGCACAGAGTAGAGACTAGAGAGAGCTGGGTGAGGAAGTGTTTTTCTGGCCTCCCCCACCAGCTCCCTCTAGTGTCTACTGTGTTGTAGTGCCGGCTCTGCTAAGAGCCGGCCATCAGGCATAGCTGACCGGCCCGAACACAATTCAGTTGATTGTGTTCGGGCCGGCCCACCGGGCAAGTGGTGTGGTGTGGAAGATTGGAGGTTTGGTTTTTTTTCTCTTGGCTGTGCTGTCATCCAGTAGAAAGAATATTAATCGCCACGTACCTGGAAAGGAGGAATGTCACTGTATCCAGGCAGACCTTATTCTAAGCTGTGCACATTTACTGTAAATACTTAAATTAAAACTGATATCTAGGAAATGATCGGTAGCTTTGGCATGACAGGGGGTGCCATAAAGAGCTCTTAGCAGCGTCTATGCACTGGTGTTGTTAGATAAAATAGCATAAGGAATGGTAAGGGTCACTTTAACAGCTGTTGAATAGGGGCATTCACAGCTCTGACCATTATCTGTGACATGCTTTTCTGCTATCAATGAAAGTATCTCCTGAAGAGGGGCACAATGGATGATGTATTCATTAAATCCTTATATGTATTTTTTAAATGTGTGCAGTGAGAATGTGGAGACACGGTGGGAATGGGGAGCAGACCTGTAAATGAAAGTCAGACTGCAGCAAACAAAGATCAGGTCCCCTCCCCTTCTAAGCAGGACTGTTCCGATTGTGGCTAGAACGCACTCCCCACATTGCGGCCAGCTCACTTTTTTGTGGGGCAGGAGGGGGCGTGACGGGCCATTGAAGTGAATGGTGCCGTAGCCACGCCCTGTGGACGCACGGGATCGCAAGGCACATTATGCCTGCGGTGCGGTCCGGTGTGATCAAAATGCTGCAAGCACTATCAAGATCGCATTTTGAATGGGCCCTAAATCTTAAGATTGGGTAGACAGAAATACAAATCATTTTATCAGTTCTCATATATGTATTCCATCCGTGTGTTTTATCTGTTTTCCTGGAGTTCAGCTTTAAATCTCCAAACCATTTTAACAGACGTGCGCAGATACACATAGCATTGTTTGGAACAAAGTGCTATAGGTCAGTCTCTCAGCTGTGTTTTTGTGAAAGAGATTATGAAAAACAGGCACTTTGGCAAATAAATCTAGAATCTTTCACAACTTTCATCGCATAAATTAATAAAATATTTAATGGTGACAGGTCCTCTTTAATGTTACTTGACATCTACATGCAGCCTGCATAAATTTAGGACTGATTACATGCCACTGTTAATTTGTCTTCTTCACCGCTGATGCATCTGAACACCTTTTGATTAAGTCATCATCATGCAAGAGACTAGCTGTACATGGAAGTTATTTTTACACCTCCCATTAGCTGTTTACTTTTATGTTAACGGATCCACCATCAAATAAAAGATCATATTTTTGGAAATCACAGTTGTGTTTCACACTTGGTTTGTGCCAACTCACTTCAAAGGTGAACATTTTCACAACTGCAGCCACATGTTAAGAGTGCAGTCGAATCAAAAAGCAGTTATTTGCTTTTAAATGAAGAACAGATGCACTTCCTGAATACAACCAATTAGAACGTCTTCCAGCTTTCATTACAGTGGGAGATTGGGTCATATTCAAACCGTTACAGGTATAGCAACAAAATAGATTGCCTCGATATACAGACTCTGAAAGCACCGCTCCCCCTTTAGAAATACATAGATACCAAGAAAGAGTTGGGGGTTTAATGAGGTGTCATGACCATTGCACGAGTAAAATCAAAAACGATTTATTGTTACATATTCTTACATAATTTGAGTAAAAGTTTTTGCGTCATAAAAACACAAGTTCCCCCACATTATATCGATTATAATCGATTATGTCGATTAGTTGTTGCAGCCCTAATGTCAAGCCTTAAATTGCGTACGCCCATAGGTGACGATTAAAACGCTTTTACTGTTCATCAGTTTAGTGTTATCAGTGATTAAAGGAGAACTATAGGGTTAGGGATTTTCCCCATAGTTCTCCTTAGGGTAACGGCAGGACACAAATTAGCGTCCTCCCATCACCCTAAGCTCAGTATACCGCAAGCTACAGCTCGCGGTATACTGAGACGCCGCAGCTGAAGCGGATCCCGACAATTATGTCTGGATCCGCCCAGCTGCGTGAGTGACAGCTGGTTCTGCCTATCTAGAGGCAGAGCCAGCTGTACCTGCCCCCTCCCCCGTCCATTCCGCCAGTCAGCGCTGGCCGATTGGAGTGTGGAGGGGGCATTCCAGCCCCTCACCTGTGACAGGATCGAGAAGTGAGCGAACACCGGTATGTGTTCGCTCACTTCGCAATCTACTGAGCCGGCCTGTGACAGTCTCATTGTCACAGGTCGGCTAGAACTGTGAGGTGAGTGAAAAGCACTCACCTCATAGTTCTCCTTTAGGCTGGGTTCCCACCTAGGCGTTCGAAATATGCGTGTATGACGCGCGTTTTGTGCGGTGCATGTTTTAACCGCGATTTGCAGCCCACAAAAAATGCGCGTCAAACGCGCGTTTACGAGGGCTATCCGGCTGTATCCCAATGGATACGCGCGGAAATACGCCCCAAAGAAGCTCCTGTACTTCTTTGGGCATAGGGCGTTTTTCAGCATGTTCCGACACGCTGAAATACGCCCAAGTGAGAACCATGCCCATAGGAAATAATGGGATTTCACTTGCAGGGCGTTTTACAGCGCATCGACCAGCGCTGTAAAACGCCCAGGTGTGAACCCGGCCTTAATGGCTCTAAAATGATTGCTCTCACTTCGCTTGCGGCGATATGCAACATGTGCGGCACGTAGGCGCACCTGACGCATATATGCGTGTGTATTAGGGGGATGCGGACTTAAAAAAAATAAATGTTATTCTTCTTTATATACAAAATTGCCAAAATTTCATATGTATACATATCCAGATTATTCCATAGGAGATTCGCGATAGTCCCACATTGTGGCCAATCTGGCTGACTTGCGTATCAGGCGTAGATTCCAACACGTTTCAATATTTTCACTTTCTCAGGGGACTGTAGGTAATCAAGGCAACTGGTGTCTAGAAGGAAAAAACAGAGGTACTAGGACAAGAGGAGAAACCGGAAATGTTTTCACTGAATTTAATTCCTATCACACAAACTATCACAAGCCCCTATGTGATAGTTTGAAGTGACAGGTTCTCTTTATGGAACCTGCCCTCCAACACAGAACAGACCTTCTGTGCAGTTTCTGACAGATGAGACAGGTGGCGCCATGATTGCAGCGCTCCAGTCTCACTGATCACAGAGAGCAGAGCAAAGAATGGAAGTTCTTCGCTCTGCTCCTGGTTCTCCATCCTAGCTCATTTGCCATGGTCACGGGTCCCCCAGTAGAGCGGGGGACCCTGAAAACCATGGCAGGGAGGGGGACAGACAATCAGTCTGGTACAAGTGATCGGATCAGATCGCTTGTATAAAACGTGCAGTGGCTCCCCACTGTATATTTAGCCTTGCTTGCCCGAAGCAGGGCTAAATGTAGAAAAAAACTCCCCGCCTGGACTGCATGTCCTGGGCGTCAGGCGATACTTATTCCGCACCCTGCAACTAGAGGAAACCTCGAAATGTAGGCGCCAGTTGCGATTTTTAACCCCTTCGTGACTGACGACGTACAGTGTACGTCGCCAGCATCGGGGCTGTTTAAACAGACTCCCGGCGACTTTTGCCGCCGGGACTCTGTTTGAACTTGTAGAGCCGACTGTCGGCTTTACAACAGAAGCGATCCTGGCGACTTACCTGTTGCCAGATCGCTTCTGCGATCTGCACTTCAATAGCTCATTTCTAGTGTAAAGGTGACACTGGGGGCCTTTTGGACCCCCAGCATCACCTTAAAGAGGACCTGTCACCACCATCTGCTATTACATGGGGGGGCTTGCAAGCCCCCCCATGTGATAGCAGTCAAAGTAAAGTAAAAAAAAACAGTTTTTAAAATTAAAATGAAATAAAATAAATCTAATAATAATAAAAAAAAAATTTAAAAGTCCCCCGCCCCCGCGAGCACGCGCGTCGCCACGTAAACACGCGTCGGGTGCGCCTACGCATGAAAACGACGAACGCGCTACACATGTTGGGTATCGCCGCGCACGCCGGAGTGAGAGCAATAATTCTAGGGCCAGTATTTTGGGGTATCTCTAAATTGATGACCTGTGGGGGCTTTTAAAGCGTCTTTTATTGACTTTTTGGGGTACTGCAGTTTTTCGCCGTTTCACGGTCGCACGCAATCTGTAAACTGGGCATGTTGGGTATCGTTTTACTCGTTGTAACCTCATCTTTTATATTTCATTAAAAAAATGGGTAATTTGTTGTGTTTTGGGGCATTTAATTAAATTTGTCACTAAATTTTGGGGTTTAATAAGGAGTTGCGCTAATATTGCGCAACATAAAAATTTTCAACTACCACCATTTTATTCTATAGGGTCTTGGCATTCAGAAAATATATAATGTTTGGGTGTTTTACGTCATTTTCAGGCCTAAAATGTGGAATATAACATGGGTGCAAAAAATGAAAAAAGGGCCTCAGTCATGAAGGGGTTAATGAGCATTGGCTACCTGGCTCCTGGGATTGATCCAGCCCTGTTATATGTAATGAATTAGGAGTGTATTGAAGTGCTTCTTGTGCTATGCATTCAAAAGGAGATCTGGCCAGTTGACAAGACTAAAGCTCCTTATAAATATGAGGAATATTTGGCTGGATTGTGTTGCCACATAGTACATTCCCACCTTTGTAAATGATTAGCATTTATTGTAGTAATGAGGTGCAGTGATGATGTATAAGTGTGCACATTTTCATGACTCATATTTTAGGCTTTCCCCGTTTTTTTTCAATGAACCATAAGTCTAAACTTCAAAATGTTCTCCACAGGAAAATCAGTCAGACACCGGCGTCAGATGGTAATTAGGCTGTAAACAGCTACTCCCCTCCCTGTTATTCATTGTAACACGGTCAGCAAACAGCAGCTCTGCCTTTACAGACAATACACTGGGGGGGATTTATCAAAACTGGAGCAGTTGCCCATGGCAACCAATCAGCATCTCTCTTCAGTTTGCTCAGGTAAGATTTGAAAAGGAGAGAGAGAGAAGCTGATTGGCTGCAGTGCAAATCAGCTCCACATTTTGTCTGCTCCAGTTTTGATAAATTCCCCCAACTGTCTTTATAGTTATCAGCTGAGGCCATTTTTACACAAGAGTTTTCACTGCTGCTACCGAGGGATGGCTTGACAGCTATGACATAAGAGAGGGATCATTCACAAGCTTACAACAGCCTCTGTACACAGGTACTGTAATATGGGATAGCAAGAAGAACGGTGTGGGTCACTATAAACATTTTTTAGAATTAAGCGTATTTGTTTTAGCCCATATTGAAAAAATAATGGCGACTGTGTCTCTTTTTTTGTCTCCTTTTTTTCCCCCCCCCTTAAGGTAAGTGACCAGGGAGACCGCGCTTCCATCACTTTGCTCACAAACCACACTGTTGTGTCGTCATCAGCAATGGACCTGTTGAATCTCAGCCTTTCCGACAACATTACCGGCCTGCTCATCCACTCCACCAGTTATGACAGCAGCAGTTCAACCTCTGGAATGCAGATATTTCAAAATGAATCTCTTGGAGGTAAAGCTGTGATAGTTTTTTGAAGACTAAACTATTAGAATCCTTGTCACACATCAGCGTAGAGCTTTGCTGCATGTCACAGTCACTGACTCTAAGCATAGGTAGAAGTCATGCCCAGAGTAGAAGATTCATTTCCTACAAGTCACAACAGAAGCTTTCCATTTATTCTTGAATCTATATCAAGACAGCAATTTAGAGACATTCCGACATGTATGCTGCATACAGGCATAATCACACTACTTTGTTCACGCTGCAGTAATTGCCTTATGCAGGATTACGCAGTTGTATATTGAATACTAAACGGGATCAAACATGCTCGGGGTACCCTACAGGGTTTCCTCGGGCAATTAAATAAGGTGAAGCTGGATAAATGTATTTTATAGAATTGTTTTTTAATAAAAAAGAACACCATCAAACATTATGGGGTCTATTGTAATGTTGAATGTCATCATGAAATACTGCATTATGGCCACTAGATGGAGCTGATGAACATAGGAGATAAATACTTATGTTCGTATGCTCCTTGGCTCCATCTAATGGTCATAATGCCGGATTTTACATCTAGTGCATTTCGAAATGGAAAAAAAATGTACTAAGAACATTTGTTTTGGGTGTCATTCACACAGAATGAACATTCATGGAGCCATCCTTTATGTAAATTGTTTAGAAATACACCCCTATGGCTTATTTATTCACACAATACTGAGAGCAGTGATGAGTTACAGAAAGCAATAGTCCTTGGCAATTAACTGGAAATCATTTCTTACTGGATATGACTTCGGTAAATTGAAAAGGAAGCACTTGGACAAGGAAGGACACCTTTAAGAGAGCAAATCACTGTTGTTCAGTGAACTTACATTTAAAGTGCATGCCCAGGCAAGGCCTAAGTTTACCCTCAAAACTCCCTCTCCCCCGTTAGCACATGTCCCAGTATTTTTTTTTAGTTTTTTTTTACCCCACTCAAAACATTTTTTGACTTGAACAACATCTTGTTCAAGTTTTTACTGCTGCCTGTGTTCCCATTTGGAAGATGTTTGTTTACTTACTGTGTGTTTCAAAGGTATCAACAAAACGGTAAGTAAATAAAAGTCTTCCTTCTTCTGTTTCTATTTCATGCGTTTGTGGGGCAGGACATGGAATGGGAAATCTCCCCAACAGGGACATACTCTAGGCAGCAACAAAATTCCCTGTAGAGGGGGGAAGGCTTAGAATTTCTTTGCAGCCGTCTCTGTCTCCTGGCAGAGGATGTAATCCTTACCTATGCTATCCAAAACTGAAATGCAAATATAGTGTGGAGTTGAGCTTTAAAGTGACACTAAACTCAGGAGTTAAATCTTAAAAATACATTCAAGTATCTTAACTATTAACAAAAATGTATCTTATTTGTGTATCACTCGGCTGTAGATCCTCAAATCATCACTGAATTGGTGCTGACACTGTCCTTCCTTCTAGAGAGTGACTGCTTTTGTTCCCCATGGTCCCTGTGTGTGCTGTAAAGTAGCCACCACTCCAAGCTCACTCCCCTGATGGACTACAATCTCATGTTTAGTTTACTTAGTTGTATTAAGATTGTAGTCCATGGCGGGAGCGGGCTTGGGGTGGTGACTACTTTACAACACACACAGGGACCATGGGGAACAAAAGTAGCCACCCTCCAGAAGGAAGGACACTGCCAGCACCAATTCAGAGATGATTTGAGGATCTACAGCCGAGTGATACACAAATAAGGTTCATTTTTGTTAATAGTTAAGGTACTTGAATGTATCTTTTAAGATTTACCAAATGGGTTTAGTGTCGCTTTAAAGCTAGGCGATTAGCATTTTCAGATGGTAACTGCAGCCTCCATGATTCTCTCAAGAAAAGTTAACTGTAAAATGAAATGTTTATTTTAATTATAAAACATCAGTAAAACAAAACTCGAACCAATTGAACCTGCGCCAGCAACTTTATTTTGTTATAAATGTCTGTGAAGTGTGAGGAGAAAGTGAGACTTTCAGATGTAGTTAAATTATTAGGTTCAGCTCTCCTTGCATCTCTGGATCTGTCATCTGAGAATTGTGTTTCTTTCTCTTACAGCTGGAGGTACCTTCCTTGTATCATACTCGGCATCGCTGAACACAACTGATGCCAAGAACGGACTGAAATATGCTCTACCGGCTGTGTTAACCTTTCGGAATACTTCAGGGGTACAGTTTACTAAATGCATATTTGCCTGACAGCAGTTCTAGAAAAAAGCTTTTGTTACATCAACTGCATCAGCTTTCCTTTTTCTTTTTACACCTCTCTGTGTGCTCCTTCCCTTTTTGCAGCATGAAATACAGACACCTACAGGTACCTGAATTTATCCAGATATGTCTTCATGCTAACCTCATAGGTCCAAAACCTCTATTATGCCTATTGGAAATCCATTTAATGAGGACCTGAACTGTGGACGTTGTACTCAAAAAAGGAGGCTAGCACAGTTTACCTACAGATGTACAGGTGTCTGTAATGCCATCTTTTTATGCATCTTTTTATGCATGCAGCTAGTTTTAAGTGACACTAAACTCAGGAGTTCAATCTTAAAAATACATTCAAGTACCTCAACTATGTATTAGCTGTAGATCCTCACACATCTCTGAATTGGTGCTGACATTGGTCCTTCTGGAGGGTGGCTACTTTTGTTCCCTATGGTCCCTGTGTGTGTTGTAAAGTAGCCACCATTCCAAGCGCGCTCCTGTGACTACAATCTCACTTTTAAGTTCCTAATTTGTATTGAGATTGTAGTCCGTTACGGAAGTGAGCATGGAGCGGTGACTACTTTACAACACACACAGGGACTATGAAGTAGTCACCGCTCCATGCTCACTCCTGTAATGGACTACAATCTCAATACAAATTAGGAACTTAAAAGTGAGATTGTAGTCACAGGAGCGCGCTTGGAATGGTGGCTACTTTACAACACACACAGGGACCATGGGGAAGAAAAGTAGTCACCCTCCAGAAGGAAGGACAGTGTCAGCACCAATTCAGAGATGATTTGAGGATCTACAGCCGAGTGATACACAAATAAGATTCATTTTTTATTAATAAAGTACTGAAATGCATTTTTAAGATTTAACTCCTGAGTTTAGTGACACTTTAACCTCTATAATTGAACTTTGATCAGAATAAGTTTACTTTAAATTGACCCCACTATTAGGATCACTGACTTCAGCTAAAGCTACCCTATAAAAGAAGAGAATGTACCTTCAGCTTCCTGATGGCCTTTCCGAATGTGTATTAAAAATCCCATTTGTAATCCCTGACAACAGCAGGCACTTAAGGGTGCGTTGACTACAGGGTCCTCCATCACATGTTGTGGTTCCTCCCACTGAGCCTTGTATTGATGTAGGCACTCTGGAAACCCTTTTGTCTTGTATTAAATGTTTATTTTCAAAACTAACATTGTATATACATAGTGAAAAAGAATAGATATGAAACAACTGTTTAAAGTTAAGCACCTAAAATTGATCTCCAGGTATAAAAACAACCTTGTAATGGGCTTCCCCCTCACTGGAAGGGTTAACTGCTCATTAATGTCTAAGGGACATGTGTAGTGGACTTTTGCTCACCTGAGCCCTGCAGGCTCCAAGTCCCCCACCTGCAGCCTCTTTCCCCTTCCGCTCCAGTGGTCGGAGGCCTGCAGATATCATTACAGACCATTCAGGGCACATTGCCCTGCACTATATGTTAGGATGCCAAAGGACAGTCCACAAGCTGGAGTGTAGAGGAGACAAGGTGACTGCTGAGGGAGTGGGGATTGGGTAAGTAAAAGTCCTTTACATAAGTCCCCTAGACCATAATAAGAAGTAGCATTTTAGGCTTTAGGTGTGTAGGTTAAGCCTGTTCACTTACAATAGCTGGATTAGAGGCCATATATGTAGATCATGTCCCCTTGGTTTGCAGTGACCATACCCATACCACCTCCATCTTGTAAGTATGTGTCATACAGCTAAAACCATGTGCTTATCCCTGTCTTTTGATCACTACAGATATCTGGAACAGCCTTCAGTATTATGGCTCCCTTCACCATCACCGCAGAAGAAACATCAAATGTAAGTATTGCAATGTGTCAGGTCCTCCATAATTTCCAGTTCCTTGTCTCTTATGGTCATAATGACGGTAGTGGTGTGGTGGCCTAAAATGAGCAAAACGTAAATGTTCCTTTTTTTCCAGACCAAGACTCCAGTTCTTACTGGTTTAGTACATATTTTTCTTTATTTATTATGGTCAGGACTATCAAATGACATTACATTTAAATATTGGATGTGAGTATTATGTAGTGTTTTATCCGGCCATCAGATGGGATACTAGGCTCTAGGGACTTTTTTCACAATAGTCCTACTACATGTTGAAGAAAGCCTGTTGTTTTGGGATATCAGGTAAAATATACACACAGAACAGTGACTTAAGACTAAACAACTAACTAAATATTAACAAACCTGAAAAGTTTACTTGTAAAGCAAAGAATAGAGATAAGATTCGGGTACGTGGCTACCATGAGTTTGAGGCGATTCCTGTGGGTTCGAAATTCATGGTCCTGGTAATTTGATGTGCAGATTTGCCCAGGAGAATTGATTTTAAGCCATAATGCACTGCGTAGGCTTTTGAGCTATAGTATTCCTTGAGGAAGATGGGTTTTTTTTTTTTTTTTTTTTTTAAAGCCCAACTCCAGATTTAAGCTCACTTACTATTTACAGGTCCCTCTACCCATGCAAAAGAACACCGTTGATTAATCAGAAAAATGCCTTCCTTTTCTTTAAATGAAGGTTTGTAATTTCTTCTATGTCACAAAATCCTCTTCTAAAATGTGATTTTCCCAGGTACCGGGGGAGAACATAATCTGTTGTCACACGCCGCATCCACCCTGGTAAACAACACTACACTTCCCATGATTTAATTGGGAAATATAGGACATATTGGTAATCTGTGCGGGCCGAGCTGAGGCATGTGGGGGCATGTGGGCATGTGTGTAAGCTGAGCTGTGGGCTTCGTTGAAATAAAAATGCCAACATAGGTGCCAATCAACTCATATGGGTGAGTCACGACTGTGTCCTGTGCAGATCATATCCGCCCACTGAAGGAACCGTGATGTTATCCTGCACGCTTTTCCTCTCAAGACTGCAACAAGGAAATGATGCAACCGGGTACCATTTTTCCTTAGGGAGAAAACAGAGGTGCTTGTTTGCATAAACTGGGAGAGAAGAAACAAGAGGATCAGGGGACAAGTCTGGCTGCTAAAAAGTGCTGGAAAAACAGACAATATGAAGAAAAGTGTCATTTTTAAGGCGAATACCTTGATGCTAACATTATAATTCTTTTGGCTGGAGTTGGGCTTTAAATATGAAGTCATAATTATGACAGCTGCTTATTGCTGGTATTCCTTTCGTGATGCAAAGTGAACCTAGAGAGACCAATTTATTATTAATATGATTATTTTAATTATGTAGTGCTCAGGTGTAGAAGATGCTAGACATGTCCAAATTTTTATATTCGTCATCAAACATTTATATCTGGATTTGTTCAAAGCCGCCACACATACAAAATGCACTTTCCGCCCTGGCGTGCTCTGTGGGACTTCTCACTGGGTGTCTGCATTTGAAGTTTTTCCCTGAGTTTATAGTCACAGATTTGTATGCTTCATATAGCTTGTGTATGTAATTATTGCTTGTTTACTTAGTTGGAGCATGCTGAAATTTTAGGGGGATCTTATTTGTAGTACCAGTTCAGATACCAGTGCCGTTACTTGGCATTTTCACGAGAACAGCCAGGGTTGCAGCTGATGGGACTTTCTCAGTTCTCAGATCCTGTCAAAGGATCTGTGAATGGATGACGCGGCTGTGTGGGTGGAGCCATGCACCGCCACGCTGATTTAAATAAAGAGTAGCAGCCTGTGGGGAAAAGAACCTTGCGATTCAGGAAAGTGGGAGCGCGACGGGACATTTTACGCCCTGAATATGAGTGTAACATGAATCATGGTCCAAAAGGTAAACTTTGCCTTCAAGGTTTATGAAGATTAAATGGAATAAAATAGCCCAGCACACATCTGATATTTCGTGTTGATAATCTGCTCTGCCCATGTTGTGCCATGGCCACTTTGCTTTTCAAACATTGTGCTTGTATGGGAGGGCATAATGCCCGACGACTGCATTTTCCAGCATCTAGTTAGGTTATACTTTTGCCAGGGAAAGTCAGGGGGTGGTGATATGATGGGTATAGGGGAGTATATTGCAACTTGTAGACCAGAAGTTATTTAAAGAGACTTGTTTAGAGCAAAGTGACAGCTTCTATTAAAAGAACAGCCCTGTACCTGCTGATGCTTGCCTTACCTATGCTCCCCCACCAGTCTGTTCCTCTGAGTGAGCCAGAAGTCAGTCCCATATCAGTGTCAGAACTTCCACACAGATGTCTTCTCCCATCTATCCTGTGATAGAGTTTGGGAGTAGTGACTGGGCACTCGGGCCCCAACATTACAATCTGTGTGGAGGTCACATACCCATATTTGGAATCACCAGATATTTACATAGGGTTCAGAAGGAGCAATTGAGTGGCGGAGAAGTGTGTGGGAGGTTGTTCTTGCAAGAGAATCTGTTACTTTGACTTGAGTTGAGTCTCCATGCAAGGAACGCAAAGTCCTGCAATACCATGCAGTGAGTTACAGTAAAAAAATTTAGTGCATGCCTTGCAATACTATGTATTGCCCGCATTGGGTACCATTCCCAAGAATGCCGGCACAACACACCTAGTGTACAGTACCGCATGCTAAGTGCGCTGTGGGATAGTGTGTGCTAAACGCATTGGATACCATGCTTTTAGCGTAATGCTATAGTATGACTGGACCCTAAAAATGTTTTTTTTCTTTCTGTGTCCCTGGGAGATTCGCAAAGGAGAGCAACAAAAACCTCTGTATGTATCCTTATATGTTAAAACTATTTAGTTAGGTTGTGCTGACTAAAGCTTTAACCCTTCCTCCTCCTAACCAAAAATAATATCTTCCGTCTGGAGTTGGGCTTTAAAGGTATTCTTCAGACAACTTTCATCAGCAATAAAATTACACAATCAATATGTCCAGATGTTTAATTATTGCATTACCTTAAAACAAAGCCTTCTAGAACTTGCAATATTTTTGGTCTTCGGTAATCCAAAGCCAGGGATTCCCAACTCCACCCATCAATCTAATAATGTTTAGGCCTGATGATCATAAAAAGATGCATTATTTGTATCCCTGCTCCATCCCCAGTGCAGCGCTGAGAAATAATTATATACAGGAAATTGTATCTCTTATGTTGGACAAAATTACACCCTTGTATTGACGCACTGTTAAAGCCCTGCCTGGTCTGTCTGCGAAGAATCATGGGAGAATTATATACAAAGTGTAATAAAGTAGATCCATTGCTTTTTCTCTTCCTGACTTATATGGACTTTTATTCTTTACTAGTTCGCTTCAGTAATTCATCTGGAGTGTCAGTGTTATAGCTTGTTCCCTTCTTCCTTCAGGTATTGCCCAACCATGGTCTGCACGGTGCTGGATTCATCATCGCCTTTGTTTTGTCTTTTCTGCTGACATGCGCTGTCTTACTCCTGCTGTACCGCATGAAAAAATTAAAGCCAAGACATGCAGTGAGTACATAGCACTTTATTTGAATTCTGATTATTTTTAAAGCACATTTGCAAAATAAAATATATTTATACTGTATATCCCAAATATAACAGGAACCTCTTCTTGGAAAATAAAACTTCTGTTATAAACATTTGCACCATATTTAAAAGAGTTGTGAAGTCCCAGCATACACTTTCCTGTTATAACATCAGCATTGTACTAGAGTTGTTTTTAATAAAGCAATCAAAGCTTATTTGAAAAAATCCCTTTCATGGGGTGAGCGCTGCCTTCCATCTGCCCATCTCTTTCATCAACTTCCTGGATTCCCAGTGTGCTTTGCATCTCTTTCCCTGCTGCTTGATGTGATGCAATCTCTATTTCTCAAGACTGCATATCCCACAATGCATTGCTTGCAGCAATCAATGATGATGTTACATTGTGGAAAGTTCAGACATTGAGTTGTAGTTCAGATGGCAGTTAAGTTTTGTAGTTCAGTACAGCACTCCAGTCTCATTACCCGCCCTTCCTCACTATTGCCCATTCACAATATGTTTTCTTTCAAAGAATGCAAGGCATTCTGTGATTGGAGGAGGGAGATGGTGTCACATCCCTGCCCCCTCCTCTCCTTCACCAATAACAGAATGCCTTGTAGTCTTTCAAAAAATACATTTTCTGAATGGGCAATAGTGAGGAGGGATGAGTGATGAGAGCGGAGCGCTGTCCCGCTCGAGTCCCTCTACTCAGTTCCCGGAAGCTCAGTGTCACGTGCAGGAGACCGCATGCTGGAAGATAATATTTTTATACTTTGCAGCCGCCCTCTGCACATAGCACACAATGTGTTCATGATAATTTACACATCCAGTGCAGTTTGTAAATTAACCTTTTTTTCCCAGAGTGAGGCTTTAAATTATGAAATGGTTTGTAAAGCAATTCAATAGGTGGGCCCATTCAGTTCAGAAGGCTGAAGACATTGTGTGGCAAAGACAAGTACAAGACCACTCCAGACTAAGTGGGCAGTATTGCAGTCTTTTTCTTTTTTCTTTTGTACAAATGAGCCCAGAGTTGGCAAATTTAAACCTGGAAGATGCACCTTTACTATACGACAAATGTCATGCTCTAAACTGCTACTGGAGGGAAAGGAAGGCCATATTTCTGGCTGACAGTTTACAGAAAAGACATCTGTCAGAGAATCACAAAAAGACCACCCTGGAGATGAGCAGAGCTTTCCATCAAGTCTCCCATTGCCATTGCTTTATGGCCCATGTCCCTTACAGCTAATGCCCGCTTTAAATTCACAGCAAAAACTGCCCGTCGTCTTCGTCCTCTTATATAAATCTGCCACAAAAGGACAAATGGTGTTATTATGTGCAGTCTTAGCTTTCCTAGCCCTGTCCATGAAATACGGGGCCCAGAAAGATTTCTAATATCTAATCTGTCTGTTCCACAAACACAGACTGCCTTGTACTGCTGCCTCAGGCTGCCTCTCTCATCTCTGCCTGTTTGTGAGCAGTGGGTGATATTTAGCCGTGCCGTGTAAGGGCCGCTGGCTCTGCATTATATCTTCTATTTCACGCTGATCCAATAATGGCTATTGTGATTCGATAAGAATCCTATTAAAATGACAAAATTCACAGCAGTTTTGTTTCTAAGAACAAATCCACTAGCTGCCTTTAATCTTAACCTTTAAGATCAACTCCAGTCTAATGAAGGGCTGGAAACAACAAAATAAAATCAGTTCTTCCTCCTTACTTTCTAACATGAGCACGGCTATTGAACAGGTAACCCAGCCGGTAGAAATAGGACTTCTTGCGAGTTGATCTCTGTAACCTAATTGTATCTTCCTTCTTTCCCTGTAGAGTGTGCACTGGCCTGATCTTTTATTTATTTTTTCTTACCTTGCTCCTGTAATAGGAAATTCCCTTTTTTAGTCCCTATGATATCGATGCAAGGCTCATAAAAGTCTTCCAGCGGCAGCCAACAGAAGGAGGGATCCACAGCGTGCCATACATCACTTTCTGTTGATGTAGGTGTGCTCCACAGAAATACATCTCCGAGGAGACCTCTGCCTACACAATACCTGCGGGCAAGCTCTTGGAAGTAAAAGTGGGGCAGACATTCTGATTGCATAAAGCACTTTGCCAATTTCAGGCAGCAATGATGATGATGTCCGCGCTGCCTGATGTAAACTACTGGGGCATGTTGAGGTGACCATGAATCGTTTGTAAGAATGTCACCAGCACTTCAGAAGTTCTTTCAGGATAACCTAACTTTCGGGGGCCAGGCAGGGTCCCTTCATCAGGCTTTGCCATTACAACTCAATGTTAAGCCTGATGAGGGGACCCTGCGTGGCCCTGATAGCGCTCGTCTTCATTTGACATGGTTCTTAATAAATGAACACTTGGTTATCCTGAGAGGACTTCTAGAGTGCTGGTGACATTCTTACAAACGATTCATGCAACAGGCGGCGCCATCCGCAGTCACTACGAGCACCCTTCCCTGCTATTGGGACATCTGGTAAGGAGTGCAACAAAACCTTCACACATGTTGAGCTGACCAATCACTTGGTGCAACAAAAATTGGCTGGAGTGACAGGTCATCTCAACAGGAGGACATGTCACAGAAGGATTTCAAGAAACTGGCAAAGAAAGCAAGGTTTTTTTTTTTTTTAATTTAAAGGAGAACTATGGGGTCAGTGTTTTTCCCCATAGTTCTCCTTAGGGTAACGAGAGGACACAAACTAGCGTCCTCCCGTTACCCTAAGCTCAGTATACCGTGAGCTACAGCTCGCGGTATACTGAGACGCCGCAGCCGGAGCGGATCACAACTTAGCTGACGAGATCCGCCCAGCTGCGTGAGTGACAGCTGGCTCTGCCTATCTAGAGGCAGAGCCAGCTGTACCCGCCCCCTCCCCCGTCCGTTCCGTCAGTCAGCGCTGGCAGATCGGAGCGGGAGAGGGGAATCCAGCTCCTCCCCCTGTCACGGCAGAGAGCCGTGACAGGATCGAGAGGCGAGCGAACCCGGTATGTGTTCGCTCACCTCCCGATCTACTGAGCCGACATGTGACAGTCTCATTGTCACAGGTCGGCTAGAACTATGAGGTGAGTGAAAAGCACTCATCTCATAGTTCTCCTTTAATTTAATATTAGCCCATTGCTGCATTTTCCTATCATTTTGTGTGTACCAGGAGTTCAGATTAAAAGGGAAATTCCAACTTTTGAAAAATTAATAATAATGGCACACTTCATAAAAGAAAAATTTACATTTATTATACTTTTGCATAGGAGCAAAGAAAGCATTGCAACTGCGATCAGTGGATCGTGGGTGCAGTGCTCTTGTTCCTGTAGATTTTCCTTCCCATCTATGTCTGTACTGAGGTATGGACATTCAGTAACATGGACAGGAGGAAGAGTGAATGGACTACAAGTGTGGGTATGTCACTGCACTCTTATTCACCCTAAATATGGGTATAACATGAAACATAGTCAGAAAGGTGAACTTAGCCTTTAATAGGAAAGACATCATCAGTAGAAATATATTAATCCCAAGTAAGTATATTTATTCATTGTCATAATCTAAGCCAGGTTAGAACCAGCAGACAAGAAAATGTTCTGTGTAGAAGTTGTAATTGCATGCCACCTTCCTGTGGCATCATCCCAGGGCTAGGTTAATTGGTTAATTAGGTTCATTAGCAATAGGTCAGTAATGTAATTGGGTATAAAAAGAGCATCTTAGAGAGTCAGAGTTTCTCAGAAGTAAAGATGTGCAGAAGTTCACCAATCTGTGGAAATCTGCTTCTACAATTTCAGAATAATGTTCCTCAACCTAAAATTGCAAAAACTTTAAATAAATCATCATCTACGGTATATAATATCAAAAGATTCTGAGAATCTGGAGAAATCTCTGTGCGCAAGGGACAAGGCCAAAATGCAATATTGGATGCCTGTGATCTTCGGGTCCTCAGGCGGCACTGCATTAAAGGCAGGCATGATTATGTGATGGACATCACTGCATGGACTCAGGAATACTTCCAAAAATCACTGTCTGTGAACACAGTTCGCTGTGCCATCCAAAAATGCAAGTTAAAGCTCTATCATGCAAAGAAAGAGCCATATCTGAACATGATCCAGAAACGCCGCCATCTTCTCTGGACCAAAGCTCATTTATAATGGTCTGTCACAAACTGGAAAACTGTTCTGTGGTCAGGCTAATTGAAATTTAACAACCATTTGGCAACCATGGGCACCTCATTCTCTGGACTAAAAGGTAGAGGAGCCTTCCAACGTGCTATCAACGCTCGGTTCAAAAGCCTGCATCACTGATGGTATGGGGTTGCATTAGTGCGTATGGAATGGGCAGCTTGCACATCTGGAACGGCACCATCAATGCTGAAAGATATATCCAGGGTTTAGAGCAGCCTATGCTCCCATCCATAAACCGCATACTGCATCTATGACAACAGCATGGCTTCGTAGTAGAAGTGTCTGGATGCTTAAATGGCCTGCCTGCAGTCCAGACCTTTCACCAATTGAAAATATTTGGCGCATCTTGAAACTAAAAAATACAACAAAGAAGACCCAGGACTGTTGAGCAGTTAGAATCCTATATCAGGCATTAATGGGACAACATTCCTCTCCCAAAACTCCAGCAACTGGTCTCTCAGTTCCCAGACATTTACAGAGTGTTGTTAAAAGAAGAGGGAATGATACACTGTGGTAAACATGGCCCTGTCTTAACTTTTTTGAGATGTGTTGCTGCCATCAATTTCAAAATTACCTTATTGTTTTCTTAAAATGGTAAATTTTCTCAACTTAAACATTTGATATGTTTTCTATTGTGAATAAAATATGGTTTTAATGAGATTTAGAAATCATTGCATTCTGGTTTTATGTAAATTTTACACAGCATGCTAACTTTTTCGGAATTGGGGTTGTATATTTGAAGGAGCAGCTCTGCCCCCTGGCACCTGTTGATCCTGCCAGAAATCCAGTGCTGTCCTGTGCACTCTGCAGGCTTATCTTAGACCATTTTATCAGACAGTATGTTAGGATTTCAGAACATCTCCACCTATCCTATTCTCCATAACATAAGGGAGGTGTTTTGCTAACACATTTTCTGATAACATTTCTTGAGATAGAAGTGCAGAGGACACAGGACAGCACTCGATTTCCGTCTAGATCAACAGCCATTTTTTGCACTTTTCAAACAGATATAAGAAAACACCTTAGAATTTTTATTTGATAGACCAAAAGAGAGCATATACAAAATCATTGTTAAGCAGGCTATACATGCTTATGTTTTTATTGTCCAACCTCCGGGTTGAACAAAGAAAATATAACAGATTGCTCCGTCAATGCTTACGATCGTTGATGGACGAATCCCCTGCTGTTTGTATTGTATTCTGACAGTGGCCACCATCCGTTGCCAGAATACCTAGCAGCAACCCTAGTTCGGCCAGGAGTTTTCCAACCAGCTCCTTCAGTCAGCTTATCGAGGGATGCCAGATGGAAGGGTGCTGAAGGCCGCACCCACTGTGCGAATTTTGTCCGGTTCATTAGGAACCGGCTAAAATTCATACTGTAAATATCTGGCTTAAGGTTTCCATACATGTATAGAAATAACATCAATGAAAGATGGTTATTCGGTTTGTGATAATGTATTGGGGGCCAAAGGGACATACAATACAGCATATGGTCTGCTGCAGAGCTGCTGATTTTGCTTATTAGCTCCCTTCCTATGTTATTTGCAAGTGTGTATTAAAGGCTGTATATTATTTCAAGAGCTTCCCAGATTCTCATTTAATATTGGCCTTCTTCTTTGCTTTTTGCCTCTCACGTGCTCAGGGAAAATTGCATCAAATTAACAGGGAATCAAAAAGTGAATCACCGGCCAAAGCAGCTGATGGCGTTGCCGAAGATGTGTGCGTGACTGACCGCCTGATTGACATAATCGTCTTTGAGGAACCAGAACAAATGCTTCAAGCTTTA